GCAACACTCTTCTTCGATCCTTCTCTCTCTCATCGATTCTATTCCGATCATCGTCGCAAAGGTCGGTTTTTTACGCCCGTGTGATTGTTTTCTGGTTGAATGATCAAAGAGATTACTTTGATTCCGATTCGATGTAGCTCCCTAAATTGCATTCCGATTCAATCCTTATGTGTTTCCCTGGGGAATTGCGTTTGATTATTGTTCTGGGATTTAATCAGTTTTTGTGAATTACGGTCGATTGAATTTTGGTGTTTTCTAGAAGCTGAATCGTCTCCTTAATCTTTGCATTATCTCAAAGCTTCTTTGTTGATTATTGAATCTTTCAAAGTTTTTGTTTTTTTTTCCCCTGTCTTGAATAACTTGAAACATTCCATAATCTCAGGGAATTTAATTATCCGCTTAATGGTTCAGAAGCAAGAAGAAATGAATGAGTGTGGTGTTCTCAATGGTGGCAAAGTGGGAACATCTTCAGTGTCACCACCTCAAGAGAAAGGAAGGAAGAACAAGAGAAAATTAGCCGATCCTTCTCAACAAATTGCTGCTTCTTTGACTGAATTCCCTCGGTACGAGTTACATTCATTCACATCTCAAAACCCTTTGAGTGTTAATGACTCGATCGGGCAGATGAAAGCGGAAGAGTCTGAATCCGTAGGATGGGATGATCCGTTTGCCTGTTATCTCGAAGAACTATTATCATCGAATTTGCTTACCCTTTTCCGTAGTGCGATGAATCAGATTGTGGATTGTGGGTATAGTGAAGATGTTGTTCTCAAAGCTATTTCAGGTAGTAGGCTCTATTGTGGAGGAAATGATCTCGTGTCAAACATTGTCAATGATACCTTGAGCTTTTTGAAGAGTGGAAAAAAAGTTTCTGGTTTGAGAGACTATGTGTTTGAGGATTTACAACAGCTTGTTGCGTATACGTTGGTAGAGAAGATAAGTCTTGTTCGGGAAGTTAGGCCATCGCTTTCAACAGTCGAGGCAATGTGGAGGTTGTTGATGTGTGACTTGAATGTTTTGCAAGCGTTTGAGGTGGAAGGAGATGGATTGGAAGGCTCTTCAGGTTTCAATCCGAATAAATCATCGGAATCTCCAGGTGTTGAGAACAATCCTCCAAAATCTAGTGTCTCAGATAACCCGAAGCCCCCACTGTCCAATGCTCAAAGCAATCAGAGCGAGCCAGTCAAGATTGGGAACTTCCCAAATGTACCCAACTCCAAAAATCCTCATGCTAATGGAGCAACACCAGGTAAAGAGGTATTTTCTGTTACCACTGCTTCTGGTGAAGGCACTAAAACTACATCCCTGACTTCTGTTTCTGATGAAAAATTAGTGTCTTGTCGGAAAGCGCGAACCAAGAAAGAAATGGCCATGCTCCGGCAGAAATCATGTGTGGAGAAGATTAGAACTTATAGCAAAGGCGGTGGCTACAAGACGGCAAAGTTTGCCTCAGTCAGCGGTTTCCTTGTCGAGAAAAGAGGCAAGTCACCTTCTGATTTGGTGTCTGTACAGTCAAGAAATTCTTCATCAAAGATAACAGCAGAGATGATGAAAGTTCCTTTAGCCGAGAGTAGCACTACTAGTATTAAGTCAGATTCGCCTGCATTAGATGTGAAGGGATATGTTACTGCATTGCCTGCTATTAATGCTCCAGCACCATTAGCTTCAGAAAAGAAGTCCAGTACTGAGTCTGAAGAAAAGGCTTCTGTGTCTACAAAGCCAGCACCAGATTACTACGCTGCGATTCCATACGATGCGTCTCTGGGGATATATGTTCCCCGGAATAAAAGAGATGAATTGATAATAAAGCTTGTTCCCCGAATGAAAGATCTGCAGAATGAACTGCAGGTTTGGACCGACTGGGCTAATCAGAAAGTAAAACAGGCAACTAGTAGACTTCTTAAGGACCAACCAGAGCTTAAGGCACTAAGGAAAGAGAAAGAAGAGGCAGAAGAATTCAGAAAAGAGAAGCAGATGTTGGAAGAAAACACTATGAAAAGGCGGTCTGAAATGGAGTTTGCCTTGAATAACGCAACCAAGCAGCTTGAAAAAGCTAACAACACGGTTCGCAGGCTCGAGCTGGAACAATCACTGTTAAAGAAAGAGAGGGAAGCTGCTAATATAAGAGCTTCCGAGTCTGCTGAGAGCTGTAGAGAAGCAAAGGAGAGAGTGCAAAGATCGTTGAAGAATACTCAGTCGTGGGAAGGGCAAAAGGTTTTGTTGCAGGAAGAGCTCAAGAGTCAAAGAGACAAGGTGGCAGAGCTGCAGCAAGAAGTTGCCAAGGCAAAAAATCGCCAAATCCAAATTGAGGTTAGCTCCTTTTGAGACAAAAAGCCTTTGCACGTATTAGGTCTTCTTGTCTTCGGAGCTGTTAGCAGTTCCCTATATTTTATCGTATGATAACTGATCATATCATTTCCTCTACAATTCTTTTTTCAGGTAATCATTTCATTCTTTTGGCTGAAATGTTTTCAGTTTTTGCCTTTTGCGCAATGCGTTACAGTGTTTATCAAAGGAAATTGGTGGGAAAATATGTTTACATCAAGAGTTTCATCTATTTACTTATTGTGCCTGTTCGTTGCAGCAAGAATTAACTGTAGTTGTTGATTGTAGATGATGTTTCTGATTAATAATTTAGCCGGTATGAGAAGTATTGTAGTTTCAATGCAGAAGCTATGATCAAGGATAGCTAATGAACTCAGTTGCAGGCTACTTGGAAACAAGAAAAGGCAGCGAACGGGAAACTCGCTGCTCAAGCGGCTGCGTTAAAGAAAGAGAGAGGGAAACTGGAAGAACTAGGAAAATCAGAAGAAGAGCGGATCAAAACAAAAGCAGAGAACGACGTGAAATACTACATCGAGAACATCAAAAGACTCGAGAGCGAAATCACAAAGCTGAAACTCAAATCAGATTGCTTGAAGATAGCTGCATTGAAGCAAGGCATCGATGGAAGCAATGACGGTAACAAGAGAGGAATGACTCATACCACCACGACAAAGGCAAACCCGATGGCAGCAGCAAACGTGTGGGAGAATAATAATCACGGGACAGAGGCGAAAATCAAAAGGGAGAGGGAATGTGTGATGTGTTTGTCTGAAGAGATGAGTGTGATATTCTTGCCTTGTGCCCATCAGGTTCTTTGCTCTAAATGCAATCAGCTTCATGAGAAGGAAGCCATGGAGGATTGTCCATCTTGTCGGGCCAAAATCCAGAGGAGGATTCAGGCTCGTTTCGCTCGCGGATAACGCTTTCTCTCCGCTCGGGTTTCGAATCATTATCGCAATGAAAGGTTTTGCTTCGGTTTTATTTCTCTTTGGACCGCACTATTTACATCAGTGACATTTCTAAATTATACACATCTTGTAAAGAGTGACTTCACATTTGCTACTTTCTACATATCCCTCCAATAATAAATCGAAGAAGCTCTGTCTCCATTTCTGTCATATAGATTGTGGCTTGTGCAACTAGACGTCTCAATGTCGTAGGAGTTGTGTTGTCTTTAAGGCCAAGCCAACAAGAGAAAGCAGTCCATGTGTGGAAACCAAAGGGTTGGTAACCTAACCTTTTGAGGACCAAACGGGGTCCAATGATCCAACCAAAACCTCAAACAAAAAAACAAATTCAGGTATATTTTTGAAATCCATACCATGCGTTCCATTTCTCCAACGGAGAACAACCCATCCTTTGTGACTTCTGCAAAAATACATAAAACCGGAGATTGTTATGACTGAGCATGATTTTATTTATGGAAGGTCGTTAAAGAGCTATACCACCGGGTTTCACTCCCAAATGGTCTAGCAAAGCTGATTCGATGTCTCTTGAACCACAGATCATGCAAGGTGTTGCGCCACAAACTAGCAGGTGGTACTTTCCCACCTGTAAGAAGAAATGAAAAATGAGTGTGCAATGTGTGTTTTGACGACAATGGTAGAGAGTCGAGTTTATGGGTAGTAACTGCTTCTTACCTTTGCCCTGTTTGTATGTTTTATTTAGGCGAATGGCTAATGCATATGTCAGTTGCCTTTTGAAGTTAGTATTTATCGATGAAAAACCTTATGTTTTCCTACCATCAAAAGCGGTAGGCTATACCATTGCATGTTACCAAAAAACACCTTAATATTCAAAACATCGATTCGGGTCAATCAGGAAGAGGAAGATTCTCACAGCCAAAGAGGGGGAACCTATCGAAACGTTGGAATGAACCCATCGCATTAGTTATATAACGCAAAAAGAAGCAATAAAATACTAAAACAAAACTAACAATGACCAAAGATATCTGAAAAGTAGAGAATCATTCATTAGGCAATCTCCATTCATATCCAAGAAACAAAAGCGATAATTTTGTTTTGTTTTAGGATATAGTATCCAAATGGGATTCTCATTTACAAGCAGACGCTTCGATTCATTTCCCTTCCTTTCATGAGCCCAACCACCTCCATAGTTGTTTTGCACCCTAAGCCAAGTTAGGATTCTCCTTGTCCCTCTCCAAATAATCCCTCCTCATCAAATCCTCCATACGTTTCTTGATCGCTTTGATATCAGGCTGCATAATCACAATATCCGATAAGCCCCAGAAACTCATCACAAAGCATCTTAATTTGTTTCT